ACGTAGCATTTATTCCCTAGGAGCCATAGGTATTTGCATTCATTCGGTTCCATAATATTGTATGTTCTTGCACGAAGCCACGGCCATCTTACTACATATAGTACTGGTCACGTTATGTAGAGGTATACCTGCATATCAAAGTCTAACCACTACTAAAGAGGAAACAGACAAGTTAAAATAAGGAATCGCTTATGTTAAGGACCAGCCTCAGTTATATAAGTATTTCATCCCATCGATGGTATCCAACTGACTCTCTGGATGAGTCGAAAAGCTTGGAATTAGTACTGATAAAGAAACTTAATGAAGCACACAATAGTCTGGGAAAAACGGTTCGCCAATGGCGACGGATGAATAAGCATCACGGAGCTCAACGTGAAAATTCTTCGAGCGTTCCAGCAATCCAGAACATATATATTTGAACGCCGCCAGTGGAACACCAACGGTGACAAAAACCTAGCATGGACCGAGCTTTTACCCTCTATATGGAAGGAAAAAGCTAAAAGAACCCCACATACGAGCCCGGATGGTCTAGTGGTAAGCTTTATCCAATCAAACATTCCATCACATTCATCGTCTAACAAATTCATAGGTATGATTCTCGCTTTGGGTGCGAGAGGTCCCGCGTTCGAATCGCGGTTCGGGCCTATCTTCAATTCTTTTTTGGCTTTACTTCTTCGTAACCTTTCCTCTCTTAGCCTTTGTTTTCTATTTGCCACCTGATTACGTATACGAGCCCGGATGGTCTAGTGGTAAGCAGCCCTCAAATCTATGCTCTGTCTTGGCTTTCAGTGTCTAACTAAATAATAGGTATGATTCTCGCTTTGGGTGCGAGAGGCCCCGCGTTCGAATCGCGGTTCGGGCCCATCTTCTTTTTTTTGTTTTTCATCTTGCTTTGCCATCTTTCCATTTCATATTCTTTGTTCCACGAAAACCCTCATTTCATTGTCCTTTACCCCTTCCCTCTTTCTCTCCCTCCATTCTTCTGTTAGATTGTTCCCCATGATCTTGATAAAGACTGACAGGGAGAGGTCGAGGCACCAACCGTTATCCATCTAACCTGCGCCCGAAAGACATGCCTATGCCTGCACGCGTTGTGTCTATCAAAGCAGGGATTTCTCGCCCACCAACTCGAGAAGGTTTGTAAATACCAACTTTCGTGGATCATAAGATATGAGGAATATGCTGAACACTACCAGGTTTGGTAATACCACCTGAGATCTCAATCAATTGTCGTAGATTCTGTCCCTTTCAAAGTTATTATTTCTATGCTCAGTAAATGTACTAAAGCAAATATCATCTACTAATAAAAGCTACTCTGGCTACTCTCTCTCATTATTACGTGGTGAACATAGCAATATCAACCCATATGGCACGAGCACCGGGGAAAGGGGGAGGGGGGGATAGGAGTCCAGGTCCAGGATCCGATGCAGGCGGCCGCGCCATATTGCCAAATTTTCTTGGTACACTTTACAATCCGACCGATGAATTTTTGGGGGGGGGGGGGGGGGGGGGGGCGCGTCGTGTAAGAAAACAGATGGATATTACCTCAAAGGTTTGGGGAGACTTGTTCATTGGCTTTTTTGAGTTGCTTTATTCTTCCATCTTGGTGAGGGTCTGTGGACAATTACCAAGACTTGGTTGGTTACGTATGTTGATGTTCGGACAGGAGCTGGTCTTTTTTTTGCTTCGAGGAGGCATAAGGTATATATAGGCCCTGACAGTGGGTTCTATGGAAATGACCTGAAAAACAGATGCATGGTAAGTAAGGCCTTTGAGTCAAGGGAGGGTGGTGTTTGTTGTTGTCATGCTAGACAGGGGCCATGTATCTGCTTCTTTAGATTCCTACGTACCCGTGGTAGAGGGCTGTAGGAAGTTCTGGTCCTACCGGTTGTACAGCTTCCGCTCTTCCATCCAATCTTTCCGTGCGCGGTCTACATAACAGATACTACGAAGTATATTGTACAGGACGACTCGAGGAAATACACCTTGCAACCCGGTACCTACAGAAATTGACATTCTAACCGTCCAAAACATTCTACATTCTATGTGTGTAAACAATTCTTTTCTCCCCTACCCATCGTGCCCACCGTAACCGAATAAAACTCCAAGCACTGCTTTCACAACCCACTCTGCATGAGGACTCGCGTGTGGCCTATTAGCCGTTTTTCTTCACTTTCCGACTCGTGCACAGCCAGATGGAGCAGGCGCTCGGGAGGAAGATGTCGTCCTTCAGATCTCACTGTGGCTCGGTAATTGACCAAGACGTTCAGAAGTTGCCAGTTTCCCGGCACTTGTGACAAGTCGCAGTTAATTCTGCCAACAACCTTGTTTTGGTCTTCGAGCGATTCGAGCTGGCTTACCTGCTGCGCACTCTCCACAACAAGAATGTGATGGGACCCGTTTGTGCTTCGGGGCAGTATTATCTTGATGTGATTGGTATACTCGTTGTCATAGGGGCTTCCCTGCGAAGAAGGTTAAGCCATCAGTAGCACCCTGATAGACCAGGCTCACGCATTACCTTGCTGACGATCATGGTGGTCTGCCGGTTCGCGTAGACCAGATAATAATATCTCCAAAATTTGAAGGACAGTTGCGGTCCCGTGAGGCCGCGCAGTGTGCCACCGATACAAACGGCTATATTCCGAAAACTATGAAATGCTTGTAAGCTTTGAATGGAAAAAGAACGGGGGGATACTGTGACGAAAATGGCGACAATCTTACTCGTATTGTGGCTGGTGAAATTCGATCTCTAACTCGTTTGTACATGCCTCCTGAATGGCGTTTGAGATCTCGGCCGAGCCACTCAGACCTCCCACTAAAAGCAGTTTCTAACAGAGATATTAGTCGCTCAATGCAGTACGAGAGCTACCAGATAGTAGAGTACCTTAATAACTTTGCATCCAGCGCAGATGTTAGCGCAAGCAATCTCACGCCGAATATGGCTAATGATCTTATTGGCAACACTATTGTAGATCAGCCGCAAGGCAGCATCCAAAAGCCCGGTATTAGTGGGCATTGATACAAGTCCATATGGAAACTTTTGCCGGGCCCATTCGGCAAACGGAAGTAGCTTGACCTTGCTTCTCGTCATCCGACCAGACGTCCGACTTTGCTGCAACGCTTTAGCATATACCAGAGACTGGAGCTGAACAGCCCCACAGGCGTTACCTTACAAAAAATTAGCTGAAAACATGACCTCATTAGGCCTTACTCACTAGTGAAAGCCGTCAATCTTTGATACTCAAAAGGGGCTTTCTGATCGACCGAAAATGTAGTTATGTCCTAGTCCTGCTGTTAGTATAGGAAAGAGATTCCTTGTATTTAAGAAAACTCATACGACGGTGCTACCACCACAATCGACCACCATAACTCCATCACCTGTCTGTTTAAAAAACCCCGGTCATCAGATTAATTCCGACGATTTGAAAAGGCCTTTGCCTGTAGTTAGATACTCACTTCACAAAGCTGCCCCATGTTGAATCCCCCTTCACTGGCGGCGTATACGGCGACCGCCTCGGCCTCTGAAGTAAAAGAGACGCTTGCGCCTTGAGGGCTTGTAAACCCTGCTGAATATACAGCCTGTTCCATCTTCATATGCGCAGAACTCGACCAAGTAGATGGCGTGGTAAATATGAAATGTTTTGGCATTCCGTTGAGTGTCGGGTCATCTTTCAAGGCACTCTGGAGATGTCCTAATAACTTTCCCAGGAAGTCAGATACGACGAGGGATGGATCCTCGCGTTGCCTGCGAGGTAGCTGCGGCCATGTCGACCCGACGAGCTCCTTGAGAAGCTCGTCATCAGAGTCTCGCAATATGCGAGCATCGTCGAATATATGTTTTATCCAATAAATGCAGTTCTTTCGGCGTTGGGCATCCGTTCCAATACAGCATGACAAGTCCCCCTGGGTGTACGCGATCGCCGTTGGAATGATATGGGTATTGTATATTTGTAAGAACGTAGGAAGCCCATTCCACCCATTTGTGGTGACATGATAGCCGACGACTATTCAAAATGGGACGTGAGTGATGAACACATGTGGGAGAAGGAAGCATCTGGAGAGCATGAGCTTTACCTGTTTTACTCGCCCCAAATTCGATGTTAATAACCAATCTGGACCTTTCCATGCTTCTGAAATGAGAGAAGTCTTGAGAGATACGAGGAACAAGAACGATTGGATGTCAAAGGCAGGAACGGTACGGCTACGAGACAATGATATCGTAGCCTTTGGTACGGTTCCACAATAAAGAGATGCTAGTCTTGGTATGGTCGTGAGATAAAGAAGTTGTGACTAGGTGGGGTAGAAGAAGGTTTCTTTGCTGCTGCTGCTGCTATTATTGTGGCGTTTGCTGGCTTGAAAGACAAGGCAATGTCACGGGATTGGACTTTGATGTCCAGAGTGATACATACACCCTCTTTCCTCCTCCTTTGTCCTTCCTCCGTCGCCTCTCTTTCCCACCCATCCTGCGTCTTCGAAACTCTGAGAATCATGGCGGGTAAACGACGCCGTAACGCAAAGAAGCTAAAGGTTGATAGCCCCCTTCTCACCTCCTGCCTATCATCCTGCATCTACCTCTCAACCCTGGCAATCCCCGGCCTTCCACTTGCATGGCTGATCTTCACATAGAAGCCACAGGATCCTCTGCCAGAGAGTCCCAATGAGCCGCTTGAGCCTTCTCCTACTGAATCCCCGAAGGGCAAGTCACCGTCCGATACCCGACCGTCCAGAAGGCCCTCGGTGCACCTGACAGCTGAGGACTTCGATAAATATCAAAGCCATTGTCATCGCATGACACTCAGTCAAGTGGGATACTACCCCGATACGAATGCAGTCATAATAGATTATCTCAACCTCCGAGACGAAGTCCACTTCTGGACTGATGCATTTGTTTGTGTGGATGCACCATCAATTTCCAGAGTACAGAAACAGATGATCATTCGAAGACTTGATAAATACTGTATCCAAGAATCTTGGACTAAGATTCAGTCCCTCCTGCCTCCCTCATATCGTGCTGTATTTCACTCATATCTGGCCGAAGCAATGATCTACCAAACGATATTCTCTCATTTGCTCGAGAAGCCGTTCAGGTTCCTAGATGGGAAACGTGATGGAACTGACAAGACTGGAGACTTGTCGTTCTCCGAACGAATCCAGTATCTGTATGAAAGATACTACGAATGTAAGTAATCCAGCTCGTTTCCAATTACATGAAAGGGTTCTTTTTCGTCTAACAGGCGGGACTGTCATCCCTGGTCTTCTTAGCAAGCCCGGTCAATGCTGTATGGTGGAGGTCGGTCACACTCAGTCTTGCCAACCTAAAAGAAGACGCCATGGCCAAATCCCCTCGGGACAAAACACCTTATGAATTTGGAGACAGGAGCCGCAAGCGGCAGGCAAACATGGCAAAAGACCTGGCGGATCAACTTCTGGCAGACAGTTTGTTCCAGCTGCTCCTGCGTGAGTTGGCTGGTGCAGAAGAAGAGACAGCGCGCCGTGAGCGCCTGGTGAAATTATTTCAGGACACTGCACGAGCCCTCACCAACCACGAGGCTATGCTGGGTGGACAGGTGAAGGTTCATCAGCTTCCTGAGTTGGAGCAATTTGATACTTCTACGGGGCTCATGTTCTCGGCAAAGTTTCAATCCGAGGAGCAAGAGGATCCTCCACTGTACGTCCCCAAGCCACGCGGCCGGGTAATCCTCGTGGTTCGGCCGGGAGTGTGCCGGTACGATACTCCAATCCGATACGTACCATTCAGCCATCGGCCTCTACGACTCGAGGAACTGGAGGGGGAGCCTACCTCCTGGTTAATTTGTAAAGCTGAGGTTCTGACGGAAACAGTGAGAAATGACCGCTCATCTGACAACTATGAGTCTGACCCCGAGGACAAAGACGTCTCCCCCTAGCTGATATACCGGTTTAGCTGTGTTGTCAGGTTATGCTTTGCGATATCGTGCACACCTAAAATGCTTTTTGTTTATGAGAATAGGAAGATTTGCCTTATTGTTCATTGTCCGAGCCAGCTGAATCATATGCTGTTATTCATCTTTTGAAGTTGCCACGCCCCAGTCTTTGAATGAACCTCTATATCAAATTGATAGTCTATATCACCAAGGGAGCTTGCCCTTAACGTTATCCATCAACCAGACACAAGTATATAAAGGTCCCCGTAGACATATTGCCATTCGTGTCCAGCGACGAAATCCTCCTGCAGCAAGCAAAAGGCTGAAAGGAGGTCCAGGAGGGGGGTGGTGCGCACAGAGGGGACATCAAAATAATCTTGCTATAACAGCTACTGATACTACTGATACTATTATTTTGTTTCGTTGTTATTTCTCACGATGAGATGTCTCGGCATTCTTTATACCAACTGCACTCTACTTTACACAGCATGGCAAGAGCCACCCAAACATCGAATTTTCCTCTAACCCCGTCTATTCCAAATTCAACTCCGTCACCTCTGCTCTATCATCATGTTCATGTATGTCGAACACTAGGCACCTAATCATCATCAGATAATATAGTCATGCACGTCCGATGGTCAGAGTCTTTCCTTAAGTCTATGTTACTATAATGCCCCGACTGCTACGAGCTCACATGACTCAGCCCTACACTGAAGCAGGAATTGCCAAGTGAAGAAAAGTGAGGTATAAATGATGTTGGCGTTCGGGAATAATATCCCTGCAGGAAGATAGTATAGTTTGGTGGCATTTTAGTAAGCAGTTGACTGAAGGTTGGATATTCGTGGGGAAAAGGCTCTGGGCCAGACCTGAGTGGCCCTCTGGAGTGTTTTAAATGGTATGGTGCCTAGCATATCACCCAACTGAGGAATCGATGCTTGAATCACCACTACCGCCGCCACCAGCAGGAACAGCCCCCTGAAGGCCCCATGCTCCCTTCTCTATCTTCTTTCCCTGAAACTTCACCAGCAGCCCCACAGTTACAGGGCCAAAGACCGTGTTAAGCAGAATCGCCCAGACAGCGGTTATAAAGGCATCCTCACTCACGTACGAAGTCTCATTGTACCCGACCTCGACAATGAGGAGGCCGATCTCGCCGCGGGCAACCATTGCCGAGCCGAGAAGTAGGCCAGAGAGGCAGACTGTGGACCAACAGACTGGTTTTGTGCTGTCTTCGCTGGGGTACTCTTCGCTAGGACACTCTTTCGCCGTCTTTCTGTTCAGGAGATTGGAACTGGAAAGTAATTGCCAGAGAGGGACCCAGATTCCGACGATGAGCTGGCCATTGTTTTAGTTGTCATGCCAGTACCACGCTTAGCGAGAGAACGGGAACTGATACCTTTGCAAACAGCATAAGAAGAGTAAAGACGATACCCCTCCAGATCCTCTTCCCCGTCCAGAGCTGCACAAAGGGGATGGCGAATCCAACACTCGAAAAGAAAAGCGGCTCCATAAGATACTTTTGCACATCTAATAGATAGCGCTCGAAGGTGTGCACAAACGTCGGACTCTTGTTCTCCTCCCTTTCGCCTTCCTCGCGACTCATAACCACAAACGGCCCATCAGGATGTTTACTAGGGATATAAGTCAAGAAGGTACCAGCCAGAAATGCACCGAAGAGGATGGAAGTCCCCGTATACGCGGCAATACTGATAAATGCGCAGAGGACCAAGATCATCAGAATGATGTTGGAGATGTGGTCGAACCGAGCGAAGTGATACTCGATATAGCGGCGGAACAGTGGCGCGAAGAGATACTTTGTTACCAGGGGGGTTACAATAGCCATTCCGATGGAAGCTACGATTGGGCGGCCAATTAGCCAGCCTAGATTGACAGAATGGCCTTGACTTAATTCGCCTAGATCACTGATGACGCTGTTTTACGTGAGTTTGAACACTGTGAATGATCTGGGGCTTAGGGCAAGTAGCTTATCTACCTTAGCATTACCAGGCCGACAACATCGTCAATGACAGCTGCGCTTACGAGGATTGATCCGACGCGAGTTTGGGCGAGATCGACCGTGCTGGAGGCAGTTGAGATAACAGCAAAGGTCGTGCCAAGAGAGGTAGCAGACAAAGATGCTCCCACGATGAAGGTTTCCACAGCACCTGTCGGGATATGTCACCTTTGTTATCCCAATCAAGTATAATGTATAGTTACTCACCATAGCCGAATCCCAAGTAGAGGAGCAGGTAAGAAAGTCCGATCGGAAAAAGAACCCCTGTTGCAGCGCCAATCATACTTAGAAAAAGATTCTTCTTTAGGAGGTCAAGGCGGGCTCCTAGCCCGCCTTCAAAGATGATCAGTATCAAGCCGATATAACCTAGCGCAAGGAAAGTGGATTGCCAATCTTCATGCAGGATGTTCGCCAGTGGCGTTCCGTAAATAATACCGACGGCGATCTGGCCAATGATGCCGGCGCGGATGATTTTTGAGGAGATCCATTCCGCTAGTGAGAGGAAGAGGAAGAAGGAGATTAGGATGAGAATGTTGACAACTGATATGGTCAGTTTCTTTCAATGATCAATGGTAGTAGTGAAGATATCATCGTCAACGTACTGCCTGGTTCGTGATAGGGGAGGAAACCTCCAGCCATAATTGCAACCTTTTCAATCCTAATGCCTTTACCTGACTAACAGACTTGCTCAGTAATATATAGTGGTGGGTATATCAATGGAATTTGAATCTCAGTCTCAATATACTTCTTTCTAAATCAGTGAAGTCTTGTGCATACTACAGATAGTGTTGGTGACACATCTGTCTGAGGTCGCACAAAGTAAGGTTACGGGCAATGATCTCACTGTTCAATTCTGCCTGCGAGAGCCATAGTCTATCTACTATCTACATACAATCAATCAATCTTCTCCGCAAAACTAAATTTTATGTTTGAAGGTCAAATACTCGTTACTCAACTTCCCAATGATGCAGACTTACTTTGACTACTTTGACTACTATATTATCCACATCTTATCTGGTCGCCGGGGCATCGTCCCAACTGATGTGGAGAACCACCAAATCCACCAATTTAGTTTTTGGTGCCGGTTTTGGCTCCCACCGCCCGAGCACTTCCGAGGGTATTCCGCATCCGCGAAATTTTCTCTTTGCCCGGCTTCCCCGTGTGCTCTTCTCCAGCTTCAACCTTTTCCCTCCATCCTACCAATTCTTTCTTAATCGGGTCTTTTTTTGGGTTCCCTTTTTCTTGTCCTGGGTACGGGGTCGGGTTGTATTCGATTCAATTGCCCTTGTCCTTGTATCATACCATTTTGCTTCTGTTTACTCTCCGTCCTTTTTTTTCTCTTCCTTTTCAACATCCTTCTACTACTTCCACCGCCACCCGCTTTACATTTGCCGTCATCAGGTAGCTTTGTCTAATCAAGTGCTACCGATCTATTCCATTATATATTTCTCCCTTCGATCTACCACCAATTAGTCCGTCATAATGGCCCAGACCAATGGCGAATTGGAGCACTCGAAAGGTTCGCTCTCTTTATCCCGCCGTCAATCACCGATCCCATGTGTCCGATAAAATTAACCTCCTGTCCACAGAGACTCCCGAACAGCTCACCAATGGTAACCACCCTGAGGAGACTCAGGAAGAGGATAACACCGGTGGTATGTCTCTCTTGTCGCTTCATGACTCAATAATCGCGTACCTGTTACTGACCATGAGTCATCGTTTACAGGCCTCTTCCAGATCACCGTCAAGCTCCCCCATGAGCCCTACAAGATCCAGGTGATGGTGGGTATTAAGTCTACAGGAGTCATGCGACCAGAGGAATGATTCAAAAACCCTCTAATTCGTATGCTTAGGTGTCGAGCCAAGAACAAGTTCAAGATGTGCGCCAATCGATCGTCGAGCTGCCCAGCACCTTCCAGTACACCTGCTTCCACCTCGAATTCAACGGCCAGCGCATCAATGACTTCGTCGAGCTGTCTGAGGTGCCCGACTTGAAGGCTGACTCCGAGATCACCCTGGTGGAGGATCCCTACAACGAGAAGGAAGCTCGTATGCACGTTGTTCGCATGAGAGAGCTGGTTGGCGCTGCTGGTGACCGGGTGGACAACCTCCACGGTATCAGCGCTGGTCTGTCGCTGCACGATGCCATCTCCGCCGAGGTGGCTGAAGCGTCGGAGAAGGAGCACTCCCTGTCCAAGTACGACATCACTAGCTCTCCCTCTTTCAAGACCATCCTCCCCCGCGCCGAAGCCCCCCTTCCCAAGACCGTCAAGGCCATCTCTCTCTCCCCCTGGAACCCCGTCCCTTATCACCTCCGTCAGAAGGGCCACTTGCTCTACCTTCAGGTCACCACCAACGAGGGTGAGCAGTTCCAAATCACCTCTCACATCTCCGGCTTCTACGTGAACAAGAACTCGAACATGAAGTTCGATCCTTCCCCCAAGACTATCCCCAAGAGTGGTCGCGCGCACTCGCTGCTCACCTTGATCGCTCACCTGTCGCCTTCCTTCAACGCCTCTTTCGAAGCCCTCCAGGAGTCGAACAACAAGAAGGATCTCCTGACCACCTTCCCCTTCCAGAACGCCATCCCTAACAACCCGTGGCTTGTTCCCCCTCCGACCTCGACCGCCAATGCTCACCAGCCGGACATCACCCGCTCCCAGGAGAACTACCTCATCTCCGGAGTTGACAACGCGGAGACTCTCCGTGACTGGAATGAGGAGTTCCAGACCACCCGGGAGCTGCCTCGCGAGACTGTTCAGGACCGTGTCTTCCGTGAGCGCTTGACCTCCAAGCTGTTCGCTGATTACAACGAGGCCGCCGCTCGCGGTGCCGTTCTGGTTGCTCGTGGTGAGGTCGCTCCTCTGAACCCCACTGAGAGCCGCGATGCTCAGATTTTCGTGTACAACAACATCTTCTACTCCTTCGGTGCGGACGGTGTTGGCACCTTTGCCTCCGAGGGAGGTGATGAGGCTGCCCGTGTCGCTGTCGGTAAGGATGTTGTGGGCATCAAGGCTGTCAACCAGCTCGACATCAACGGTCTCTTCACCCCGGGAACTGTTGTCGTTGACTACCTTGGTAAGCGTATCGTCGGTCAGAGCATTGTCCCCGGTATCTTTAAGCAGCGTGAGCCCGGTGAGCACCAGATCGACTATGGTGGTGTTGAAGGAAAGGATGTCGTGGCTACTCACCCCGACTTCGTGTCTGTCTTCGAGAAGATGTCCAAGGCTCTTCGCGTCAAGAAGCACGCCGTGTGGGACAAGGAAGGCCAGCGCCACGAGCTCGAGGGTAGCGTGGAGACCAAGGGTCTTTTGGGTACCGATGGCCGCAAGTACGTCCTTGACCTCTACCGCGTGACTCCCCTGGATGTCATGTGGCAGGAGGAAGAAGGTAGCGATGCCTACCCGCACCGCATGTCGGTCCTGAGACTGGAGCTTGTTGAATCTTACTGGAGACACAAGATGAGCCAGTACGTGAAGGCCGAAGTCGAGCGCCGCCGTAGCGCCAAGGCCGAGGCGGACGCTGCCAAGGCTGAATCCTCCGAGGCTACCGAATCCAAGGAGCAGGCCTCCGAAGAAGAGAAGAGCGAGGAGGCTGCTGACCAGGAGCGCGTTGACATTTCCGGATTCTCCCTTGCGCTGAACCCCGATGTCTGCAGCGGTCAGGTTCCCCAGACCGACGAAGAGAAGGAACAGTGGGCCCAGGACGAGAAGGAGGTTCGCGAGACCTGCGACTACCTGCGCTTTAAAATCATGCCCGAATTGATCCAGGACCTGCACGACGGTGATGTCGGCTTCCCCATGGACGGACAGTCTCTTAGCCAGCTTCTGCACAAGCGTGGTATCAACATCCGCTACCTTGGTAAGCTGGCTCAGCTGTCCAAGGAGAAGGGTTCTCGCCTCGATGCTCTGTCTACTCTCCTTGTTCAGGAGATGATTGCCCGTGCCTTCAAGCACATTGCCAACGAATACCTTCGTAACGTGCCGGCGCCGTTCGTCGCCTCCTGCATTTCTCACTTGCTCAACTGCCTTCTGGGTGCTGATGTCAACCCCAACCCTGTTGCCGAGATCGACGCTTCTCTGCGCTCCATCTACCCCGAAGGCGACTTCTCCTTCGAGAAGGCCACCCCTGCCACTCTCCGGGCTGAGATTGAGAAGCAGGTGTCCATCCGGTACCGCTTCACCCTGGAAGCCGAGTGGTTCAACTCTCTTAGACACTTGCAGCTTCTCCGTGACCTGTCGATCAAGCTCGGTCTGCAGCTTGGTGCCCGGGAATTCATCTTCGACAAGTCGCAGATCCCTGCCAAGGCTCCTGTCACTAACGGTGCCAACGGTGCTGCTCAGGAGGAGGGCAAGAACAAGAAGAAGAAGAAGGGTGGCGATTCCAGCTCTCCCGCCCGCGCCGCCAAGGAGGAGAAGCCCATCCTTGCCATTGTCCCTGATGACATTCTCAACATTGTGCCCTTGGTCAAGGACGCCTCCCCCAGGAGCTCCCTTGCCGAGGAGGCCCTGGAGGCCGGTCGTATCTCTCTTATGCAGAACCAGAAGCAGTTGGGCCAGGAGCTCATCCTGGAGTCTCTGTCTCTGCACGAGCAGATCTACGGCATCCTCCACCCTGAGGTCGCCAAGCTCTACCACCAGCTGTCCATGCTGTACTACCAGACCGACGAAAAGGAGGCGGCCGTCGAGTTGGCTCGCAAGGCTGTCATCGTCACTGAGCGTACTCTGGGTGTGGACTCGGCTGACACCATTCTGAGCTACCTCAACCTCAGTCTTTTCGAGCACGCTTCTGGAAACACCAAGACTGCGTTGGCTTACATCAAGCACGCCATGGACCTCTGGAAGATCATCTACGGCGCCAACCACCCCGATTCCATCACCACCATGAACAACGCCGCGGTGATGTTGCAGCACCTTAAGCAATACTCGGACTCTCGCAAGTGGTTCGAGGCCTCGCTGGAAGTGTGCGAGTCTCTCTTTGGCCGCCAGTCCATCAACACCGCGACCATCCTGTTCCAGCTGGCCCAGGCGCTGGCTCTTGACCAGGACTCGAAGGGTGCCGTTGGCAAGATGCGTGATGCCTACAACATCTTCCTCAGCCAATTGGGTCCCAACGACCGCAACACTAAGGAAGCTGAGACTTGGCTGGAGCAGCTCACTCAGAACGCGGTCTCGATTGCCAAGCATGCCAAGGACATCCAGGCTCGTCGTCTGCGCCGGGTCAACATGAACCCTCGCTCTCTCGGCACCAAGATCCAGCCTCAGGTTGGCCAGACTGCTCCCGAGGCCGCTGGAGCCAGGGCTCCCGGCAGCGCCTCCCTGGACTCCCGTAGCGTCGATGAGCTGCTGAAGTTCATCGAGGGCGGTGATGCCGGTTCTTCCAAGGCCAAGCAGAAGAAGCGTGCTGCTGCCAGCAACCCCAAGCTCCGTGGATCGAAGAAGTCTTCGGCCTAAGCGAGATGAATTGTCTCATATTTTTCTCCTACCTTCCAGTTTCCTATGCATGGCCGCTGGCCGAGCTCAAAAAAACGATCTTGGGTTTATTTTCCTTGTACTATGCCTGTCTTAATAGAGGTATTATTTGGCTCTATATATCCCTGCAAAGAGTTGATGTTTTGGATGAGCGGGCCGTTTGCAGAAATCTCTCTACTCCCGCACCACATTGGGTGCTGATGGTTCTATGTTATTATTTACTTCTTATTATCTTCCTATTGTTCTGTTCATTTCACGCCTTTTGGCATGGGTTCTCTCTATCGCGGGCAGTGCATAGCCAAGCCGGGCGATTCGCATGCTATGTATTATATACGATGATCGGTGGTTATCCCAATACGACTCTGTAACGATGCTATGTCTTTGATTCATTATTTCTCCTCTTCGTAGCAGAATATCCCATCATACACCTAGATGTCTAGTACTACTAAGCCAAAGCCGTGAATGGCTATCCAAACTACCATGCGAATAAGACTGAAGTGAGAGAGAGACCCTGACTGAGTATCAGCTAACTGCATCCGGCAATGAAGCAAAAACGTTTACACATCCCAGTCACACCTACTGCGACTCTTTGTATATCCTGACCATAAGAGAAGAAACTTTAGATCTATCGAGGTGTCCCCTACACATACTTAGTAACCCGCAATTTGATTACCTCCGAGTATCTGGTCACCAGCCTTCCGGATGACATGATGGAATTTACAATACATCAATAAACATATTCGCTTTCCTTGGATCCTTTTCTCCCCATCACAGATGTAGAGCTCTCTCCCTACGTTAAGCCGCGATATAGTTGGTGCAACTTGGAGGGTGGTGGTAGTACTTAGTAGTAGTAGTAGTAGTAGTAGTAGTAGTAGTAGTAGTAGTAGTAGTAGCATCCGAAGGGCGAATTTGCGTGTTTGTGCTAACTATACACTACTTACTACACACTAACTCTAGAGATGTTACGAGGAGTGGGAACAGCATCGCTGAGATGGAAATGAAAAGCCAAGACTGGTCAAGACTCTGACCGTTTACCACCCCCACCGGCCCAGAGACAGGTTGTAGACTAATCTCCCAGACGAGAAACATGATTAAGATCCAGGATGAGTGGACGTTGCAAACTGACCCTGAAGTCAGTGGTTCATGGGACAAAAATCTAGAATTGTTCTGCCTACGACATTGTTGGTATACCAACAGGATGCAATGCAGTTGAACAGTAGTAGAGTTTGTCCAATAGATGTTCCAATGCTGTGAGGATACCTCGGAACTTTTTGAGTGATTCATATGGTGGCTTGTTCAGCTGACAATGAGAAGGGATTTAATCTGCTCGCGAAGGAACCTGCGGAAACAGCAATAGCGTTGGCGGGGAGTTATATTGGATGCGCCACATCACTTCAATGTACTGATAGGAAGAAAGCATTGGACGAATGGATTGGCTAGATAGCACGTCTGGCTCCCCACGGCGCTTCAATTCCAGCTTCTGCGAGACCTGAGCGTCGGTCTTTCAACCAGTAGCACGTCGCGTAGCCTGAACCTTCAGAGAAAGGGCTGCGGCATCCAGCGTGACGTCTGCGCCATCAATGAGCGGGAAAACGAGGGCGCGGGGGAGGAGGAATGATTGGAGGCCACCGTCTCGTCTCCCAAGAGACTTAGTTTGATGGCTGCATTTAGTCCTGGCAGTCACGGCCAGCGCTTCGCCAGCGATACGCGGGCGCGTCCCTGTCTGCACTGATAGCCGCCCGGGTCACGGACAGGCTGCCCCTTGGCGATGTTGTTTGTACCCCAGGCCAAGAACAGCGTTTTGAAGAAGGGCCCGAACACACCAGCCGGTTCCTATTAGGTTGACTCACCCAGCTCGTGGTGGTTATCATTGACCAGCCCGTGTGAAGAGCCGCCGATCTGCACCGCCAGTGCGGGACGGCGACAATAGCTACCACCTCCAACACTACACCGTTCGGAGATGCAGCGTCCTTGACGCTCCACTCGCACGCGACCTGTCCCGAATTAAGCGAGTAATTCCTGGCTCTGATGATGACAGCCAGGACGAGCTGAGTTTTTTGTGAGCGCGCGGGGGTCATGATTTAATTTTTCTTTTCACTTTCGCGCGGGCGTTGGGAGATTGGCAATGCTGGTTGGCGAGGTCTCATTTTTCAGACGAACCCCCATCACTGGGTCATTGATGATTTGGTCTGGTCTGGTTCTGTCCATGTTCATTCATTTCCATCCGAGTGCGTATTGTTGTGATGTTTTTTTTTATTTCCTCGGCAAATTGAGAATTAGACCGACTGATTGAATTTCCTGGTAGGAGTGGGTTGATTGATTGATTAGGTTTCTTTTTGGGGGGTGATTTTCGCGTTTTGGTGGATTTGATCGACTGATTGATAAGAATACTCGTGGGTGAAAAAGTCATTCTTGCATTTGATTCTTTGGTTCCGGTGGCTGGATTGACCGTGGGGGTTAAGGTAAATGGAATTGTGGCATGGGTTGGGCACGGAATTCGGCTTTGTTTAAATTGTAGATCTTTCTGAATGGATTACTAAATTCCCTTGTTGGTGTAGGTGAAGTAATGTGGTTAGGTATGACTTCACCGTCTGAAACTCCCTAGGAAATACTATCGATGCTATTTACTAGCTGAAGGTCAGTAGAAGACCTTCAACCCCCACGGTCAGTCAGTCGGTCAGAAGGGCACCTCCTGAACGGGAAGATTGACGCAGCGGCAGTGACACACAAAGTGTCGCACGACTGTAGCTTAAACAACAATAACATTGACAGATGACATACATCATGCACCGACTGACAGCAGGAGGGAAGTATAAATCAGGATAAATACGAAATTAAATTTAGATTTATTCCCCCAACAAGTTCCCCAACTACACGAACAACCCCAGGAATAATTATATTGCTTTCTGATTGATGAAATGAGGGTTTGTTTATCATCCCATATTATTTCCCACTTTTTCTTGAATCGATGAGTAATGATATGAGGGACTGCTCCACCTGCTGCTGTGGGGAAGGCGTGACGATAGGAACTTGGTGTAGATACTTAGTAGATAGACTAGACTACTTATTTTCCCCCAGAGTAAAACATTAACAATCCTTCTAGCCTTGGCTGAGAGGGGAGGTGTGCCGTGTGGTTGATATCAGTAAAATTAATGTCTTATGATGTGACTGAGAGGGAGTTATGGTAGTACAAAAAAAAGAAAAGGATTGTTCAGAGAGTTTATTTCGGGAGCCTTTGTTTATGCTTAGCGTAGAAAGGAATACTAGTTAGGAATATTCCTACTTAATCAATCAGTTAGATCACGGGTCTTCCGGTGCCAAGAATAGGTACCTCCTCTTTCTTTCTTGTTTCCTGTTCTCAGTAATTCTTGTCTGATATCACCAGTCAAATAGGCAATGGCCGACAACCTAATCATAGCCACATTCAAGAAAGAAGAGGAACGAACTCCTGTCTAGACTATTACTATCTCTTCTGATTCGCCATCCGGGAAAAAAGTCTTTGCCTATCTTGACTCTCTCCGACTCTTGTCTTTCGCTCATATCAAACCTCAAACCGCGCCAAATCCACTTGGGGCCCGCTCTTGTCCGCCCGCGCTGCCAAGATTGGCTCGCTCACTGGCTGTTAAACTTCTACAACGCAAGGGCGACAGCCATCACTCCCTCCAGCCAAGCCGCGAGATCTCATCCGGCCTCCGCTGGGGTGTTTCATCTAGGAACCCACTCATCCTCTCCCTGTTCCTCTCTCTCTTCTTCCCCCCTTCCTCTTGACTACTCGATCGATGGCCTCATATATCCGCTTCGCTTGGCGTGGATGGCAAATTTGACAGGAGTCATCCGGACGGGCCCAGCGTCTCTTGGTGACATGGCTCGACCTGTCCAATGTTCCACCTCATTCTCCCTCTCTCTCCACTTATCGCGATGCACTGACTTGACTCGATGGGCCCCGATGCTGGGCCCTGATGAGTCGCCGGCTAACCCGTAATGCTCCAATCCAGCCAAGGGCGTGTGCTTGATTGAGAAGGTTTTGCACTGGCCCTCTGGAGATCTTTCTCAATTCTGCTCGTTCTTCTTCTTCGTAGACTTTTCTTTTTTCTTTTCCCTCTTTTCTTGCTTCTCAGCTTTCCCTTTTGTTAAGCGCTTTCCCCTTCACATATCGGCTACAGGATAGTCAGTCCCTTCTTTCCCTTCCAACCCTACTACTTTTTGGGTGCCTATCCCACGCCCCCCAATCGATTTGGCTCGCTTCTGGCTCGCTGTTGGTCGATTGTTGGCTGTTGGTACCGGGTTTTCGTTCATTCTTTATTGGAACCTTTTTTTCATTTCTTTTCTGAAGCTGAAAAAGCAAAGGGTGTGACTGGTTCATATTCCGTCTTAAACATTCCGTTCCGTTGCCCGCCACTGTCGAGAGATTCCACACGGAAGTATCCCAGTTCCCAGGCGACCGTCCATTCTCTGTAAATCAAGACACACCAAGCTTTTTACCGTATTTCTCTTCGATCCGTGACCAGCCTTGTCGCTTGGTCTTTGTTCAAGTTGTGATCCTCCCGTTGCACGACAAAGCGCCATCACAATACCCTTGTTGGTGTGAACCCTGGCTCTCAGCTGGACGTGGGATATTCTTGCTCTCCCCACGCCAGTCCAACAACTAGAGACTTCAAATACTCCTCATTGGGTCTCTTGCATGGGTCATCGACGAGGATCATCTCGGGATTTTCTTTCTTTTTTTCTTCATTTGCAATTAGTTTCTGAAGAAAAAACTCCGTCTGGGTAGAGCTGGTCTCTCCTGCAAGAAATATCCCCTATTAGTACATCTCCACGTCGATTGTCGAGAAATCTTTCCGTTCTTTTTTTTCTCTTCTCATTTTTCAATTCACACACAAAATGCATTCTCTTCTTCTTTGCTCGTCCCTGGTCGGACTTGCTTCTGCAGCAGAGCTTGGAAAGCGTCATGGAGGGGGTCATTCATTTTATGAGATGCTCAATGACGACCTCGCTCGTCTCAGTCTGCTGGTCCTGGGCCTAATGGCTGCCTTCATCTATGTCTGGAAGATGTGGCATCGTCTTGCCAGTCATATGAGGCGACTGGCAAGTTTTAACAATGAACACCAGCGGTACTTCCTTCGCCCCGACAGCATGCTCGCGAAAATCCACAACCATATCGTCTATGCCCCGTTGTTCCGTACACGCCACAACCGCGAGTTCCAGCTCTCCCGAGCTGTCAACATGGGCACGCTGCCCAGTCGGTTTCACTCCTTTATCGTGGTGGGCATTATCGTTATGAACGTCGTCCTTTGCGTTGTCACCGTACCCTATGGGACCGAGGAGTCCACGGTTGCGGGCCTGATCCGCAACCGCACCGGAACCATGGCGACAGTGAACCTTATCCCGGTGGTGCTCATGGCCGGCAGGAACAATCCCCTGATCACCCTGCTTCAAGTGCCGTTTGACACCTTCAATCTGATTCACCGCTGGCTCGCTCGCATTGTCGTCTTGGAGGCAATCGCCCATGTGTTTGCTTTTGCGATCCCGGAGGCTCAGGAAGGTATGTAGTTGCAACCCATGTCGGATTATGGTCCATATGTGCTAATAATTGTATAGCTGGTTGGAGTCTTGTTGGAATGCTTTTCGGAGAGAGCAGCTTCATGCTGAGTGGATTGATCGTAAGCATTTATGAAAGACCAAGCTTGAATTCGACTAACCTGACTGTTAGGCTGGCTGCGCCTTCACTGCTCTTCTTGTGCACTCACCCTCCCCCATCCGCCATGCATTCTACGAGACCTTCCTCCACTTCCACATCGCGTTCGTTGCGCTTTCGTTCGCCTTCCTATGGATACACTTGGATGGCCTGGTGTCTCAGAACTACCTTCTCGCCGCCATCATCCTCTGGGCTCTCGAGGTAAGCCTCCATTATCCTATTGAAGAATGAGACGGGATTAACCATGGTTATAGAGAGCCGCCCGAATCCTCATCATTGTGTACCGTAACTGCGGAAGGGAATGCACGACAGCGCATGTCGAGACCCTCCCGGGCGATGCCCTGCGAATCACCCTGAAGATGGCACGGCCGTGGACCTTCAAGCCTGGCCAACACATGTACCTGTACATCCCATCCATTGGTTTCTGGATGAGCCACCCCTTCTCCGTCGGGTGGAGCGAAGCCGAAGAAATCCCCGCAAGCGAAAAAGGCATCCCTATGACCCAACAAGACCTTGCGAGTCTTCAGAAGACGACCGTCTCCTTGCTGATTCGTCGCCGCACTGGGTTCACCGACAAACTATTTAAGCGTGCTCAAAACTCTCCCAGTGGACGGATTTCCTTGCGGGCGTTCGCAGAAGGCCCGTACGGCAGCATCCACACCATGGACTCCTACGGCACGGTCATGCTCTTTGCAGGCGGTGTCGGCATCACACATCAAGTACCATTCGTGCGGCATCTCGTCCAGGGCTTTGCCGAAGGGACCGTGGCGGCCCGTCGCGTTACCCTGGTCTGGATCATCCAGTCCCCTGAACACCTCGAGTGGATCCGGCCCTGGATGACCAGCATTCTGGCGATGGACCGCCGTCGCGAAGTCCTTCGGATCATGCTGTTCATCACCCGCCCGCGTAATACCAAGGAGATCCAGAGCCCCAGCACCACCGTTCAAATGTTCCCGGGTCGTCCTAACGTTGACACGCTGATCAACATGGAGGCCGAGAACCAGGTTGGAGCGATGGGAGTGCTGGTATGTGGAAACGGAAGCCTGAGCGATGATGTTCGACGGGTGTGCCGCAAGAGACAGGACCAAACGCAAGTGGATTTCATCGAGGAGAGTTTTACCTGGTAAGACTGGTGGACAGCCGGCTGCCTTTAAGTGAATGTTCAATGGAGGGCTGCTGCTCACTTGGCCCCCATTTGTGTCTCAGCACATCCACGCTTGGCAGCCATGTCCCTCAATTATCTACAGCCTATGGGCTACCTGTGTGTTGGATCCTCTCGGTGTTTTCGGTTGCTATTGGTTTATACTTTTGTAGCTAGGGTAGTATATATAGTTGTTCCTTTTTATGCGTGGCTCTGAAGCTTGCGATTGCACATAACAATTAGGTTTTGCATAACTTTGTGCTTATTTATGGAAACTTGTTTTTTTTGTAAGCCATTGAAGCTAAACCCTAGTTAGTACATTGCATTGCATGCTTACACGATCCTTTCTGTTCCCGTCCAGCTTCTTCCAACACAGTAGGACTACTGGGCAGCAGTCAGCACCCATAATAGCGATCGATGTATGCATCCCGGCATCAGCAACACTGCAACACATTACTAACCCGCACCTACAAAGTAACATCTAAACCCCTGTACTTAATACCGCCAACTAATAATCACGCAATCCCAATAATGAATTAACCGTACAGTAAACCGGCATAATCCTAGTACGGCATCCCCGCCCGATAAAAAAAACATCCCCGATAGAAACAGCCGGATGCTTTTTCTGCAGCTTAGAAATCAAACCTCAAGCTCAAGTGGGGCTTACTGATGAATCAGCCGAAAATGGCATCATCATGTTTCCTAAGGTTAACCCGTTACCCCCCATGAACTAACTAACGTAGCTGTTCAATTGCATTAATCATCGTGTAGTAGTTATTTGGTCGGTCATGAGCGGGGTTCGTGTAGGATCCAGAGGCCTATTTAATGCCCGTTGTCTTCGTCGTCGCACTGCATCTTCTTTTGTATCATCATCACCATCATCATCACCTATTTACTTGAACTCAATTTTCTGTTCACGGATCCCTTCTACTTCTTCTTTTTCTTCTTATTCTCTGTATAGTACAGCTACAGCTGCAGCTACCACAATGAGCCGTCCCGACATCACCCTCTACACAGCGCAGACCCCCAATGGAATTAAGATTTCCATTGCGCTGGAGGAGCTTGGGTATGCCGATATCTTCATAGGATAATTAGCAATCAACTAATCGATAATCCAGTCTCCCTTACAAAGTCGAGAAGATCGACATTAGCAAGAACACCCAGAAAGAGCCGTACGCTACCTACTCCATACCCCAATAACAACCCAACCCCCCAACACCACTAACACCCATCTAGATGGTTCCTCGAAATCAACCCCAACGGCCGCATCCCCGCCCTGACCGACACCTTCACTGACGGATCCAAGATCCGCCTCTTCGAATCCGGCAGCATCCTCACCTACCTCGCGGAACAATACGACAAAGACCACAAGATCTCCTACCCGCAGGGCACCCGCGAATACTACGAACAGAACAGCTGGCTCTACTTCCAGAACGCCGGTGTCGGGCCCATGCAAGGCCAAGCGAACCACTTCCACCGGTACGCGCCCGAGCGCATCGAGTACGGCGTGAACCGCTACATCAACGAGACGAGACGGCTATACAGCGTGCTGGATGCGCACCTCGCCAAGTCCAAGTCCGGGTATCTTGTCGGTGATCACGTCAGTATCGCGGATATCTCGCATTGGGGATGGGTTGCTGCGGCCGGGTGGGCGGGAGTCGATATTGAGGAGTTCCCGAATCTCAAGGCGTGGGAGGAACGCATGGCTGCTAGGGAGGGCGTCGAGAAGGGAAGACATGTGCCGAGTCCGCATACTATTAAGGAGATTTTGAAGGATAAGGCCAAGGCGGAGAAGATTGCGCAGGAGTCGAAGGGGTGGATTCAGCAGGGAATGAAGGCGGATGCTAAGCACTAGTTGTTATTTAGTATGTTTTAGTTAGTAATTATGTATATGATTGTTTGATTTTGCAATGTAAAAGTTGTTGAGATAGTATTGATGTGAAAGTGCATAAGTTACGGTTCTGTTCTGCTCCCCGCTTAGTCATCACCACGTGCCGGCCTAAAAGCCTTGCCACATCTCCCTCCCCAGCTTCTCTCGTCGCATCGCATCGCCGTCCTTTCGTCTAGGATCCTGCGGAGAAAGAAAGAAAAAGAATATCTCTTTTTTGGCTCGTATATCGGTCTCATTAACAACAGGGATTAATAGTCGTTCATCATGGCCTGGCGCAACCAGGGAATCACCGGGTCCAATAACATCCCTCTGGGCCGGAGACGGTTTGGAGGTGAGGAGGGCCCGGAGGATGAGAGTCGCACCGCGACGCCTGCTTCTATGCCTGGTGCTGGTGATTCGGCCTACAAGCGTGGTCGGAGCCCTGTCCGAGGTGAGTGCATAATATTATAAATGCCCTTTAATAAAAAACAGCTGCTAATGCTATGGTTAGCTGAACCCCCCGCCGACGGCGTCAAGAAGCGCAAGAAGCGTAACCGTTGGGGCGATGCGCAGGAAAACAAGGCTGCCGGTCTCATGGGTCTGCCGACCATGATTATGGCTAATTTCACCAATGAACAGCTGGAAGCGTATACCCTGCATTTGCGGATTGAGGAGATTAGCCAGAAGTTGAGAATCAATGATGTTGTGCCGGCTGATGGGGATAGGTTCGTCCCTTACCTCCTGTTGATGGCTGCTGCGCCCTTGTGGAAAACATGCTAACAGTTTTAGATCTCCCTCTCCCCCTCCTCAGTACGATAACTTTGGCAGACGTGTAAACACTAGGGAATACCGTTACCGGAAGCGTCTCGAGGATGAGCGCCACAAACTCGTCGAAAAGGCGATGAAGACTATTCCTAACTACCACCCGCCTTCTGACTACAGACGTCCTACTAAGACCCAGGAGAAGGTCTATGTGCCTGTGAATGACTATCCAGAGATTAACTTCAGTATGATAACTAACCCTCTAACTCCTAACCATTGCTGTATTTGTACTCTCCTGCACTCCTTGACTCTGCTGTGCTCGAGTCGGGCTTCTGATGAAGACTTCGCCGCCGGGCGTTGTTTATCTCCAGCTCGCTTCTTGCGAACCCTTGCTCTACCTGTTCTTTTGCTCCCACTTGCACCATTTTGCTCACACTCACCCGCCTGAAAGTACTTAAAACAGCTTGCACTAACACTTAGCTTTTTGCTATCTTTTAAAGTTGGCTTACTCATAGGACCTCGTGGTAATACCCTGAAGAAGATGGAGTCGGAGTCTGGTGCCAAGATTGCCATTCGTGGTAAAGGCTCCGTCAAGGAAGGAAAGGGTCGCTCTGATGCCGCTCATGCCAGCAACCAGGAAGAAGATCTTCACTGTTTGATTATGGCGGATACTGAGGAGAAGGTTAACAAGGCGAAGAAGTTGGTGCATAATGTCATTGAGACGGTATGTACCCCAAAGATCTTGTACAATGAAGTCCAGGTACTAATGGACACAGGCTGCTTCGATCCCCGAGGGTCAGAACGAGCTCAAGAGGAATCAGCTCCGAGAGCTGGCTGCACTCAACGGTACTCTCCGTGACGACGAAAACCAGGCTTGCCAGAACTGTACGTGCCCTTCATAATCTACTTAGAATTATAGCTAACAAACACAGGTGGTCAAATCGGACACCGCAAGTACGACTGTCCTGAGCAGCGCAACTTCACCGCCAATATCATCTGTCGCGTCTGTGGTAACGCTGGTCACATGGCCCGTGATTGTCCCGACCGTCAGCGCGGCTCTGACTGGCGCAACAACAACGGTGGCTTCGGCGGCCGCAGGGCCATTGGCGGCGGTGACGCTGTTGACCGTGAGATGGAGGTATGTTCCCGCACATTCTTTTTCCAAGTACACAGTACATAGTACTGACATCTTTCAGCAACTCATGCAAGAATTGTCTGGTGGCGCGCCCGGCGAAGACGGCCATGTCCCTCGTCGGATCGAGGCTGGCCCCGATCAAGGTTATGATGACCGCGACGTGAAGCCATGGCAGCGCGGACCTCCGCCCAGTGACGTGGCTCCCTGGCAGCAACGAGGCCGCGACCGCCGTGACGACTACGGCTCCCGCGACCACGGCAGTGCGCCTCCATGGGCTGCACAGGGCCGTGGTGGTGGTGGCGGTGGCGGCGACTATGGCTATGGCTCTCACGGTGGTTATGGTGCACCTGGCGCTGCTGCTGCCTCCGCTGCTGCTCCTTGGCAACAGGCTGCTCCCCCGCCGCCCCCTGGCGGACAAGCATCGTACGGATACGGAGCTTACCCTACGTACCCCGGCATGGGTGCCCCTGGCGCTCCTCCGGGTCTGAGTGTTCCTCCTCCGCCGCCGGGCATGCCGTCGATGTACTACGGCTCTGGCAGCCCACCCCCTCCGCCTCCTGGCGAGGGTCCCCCACCTCCGGTATGTTTGCTATCTACACAACTGAATTTTACTACCGCTTACTGACATGATGATGCAGCCGCCTAGTGACCAGCCTCCCCCGCCTCCCCCTCCCGCTTAGGGGAGATGCGACATAAAAGTGGTTAATGTTGATGCGAACGATAGCTAGGGACACCGGTAGAAGAATCCGGCCCGGGTAAATTGATAGTGCACGTAGGACACTGGCGATGATAGTTTTAACAACTCTCTCTGTGTAATAGTTAGGTAGTCCAGCATCAAGCGTTCTGCTGTAATTGTTTGCTTCCACTTTTCGATAAAATCGAGACTTAGTTTGCAGGGGGGGGGGGGGGGGGTACATCAATCCGTCTGCAAAATGTACGCATGGCTGCCCGTCGGCAAAAAAAAAAAAAGAGCGTCACTCGCTCGCTCGCTAAAGCCAATGACGTTAGGCACTAACTAGCATGGTCGCTACCGCGTAGAAACATGACTAGCAGTATCCGTAGATAAAGACAAGACCCGCCATCATAATTATGTTTCTCGAGTGTCCCCCCAATTCTTATTAGACTAGAGAGTAATGGTTTATATTTCATCCACTTATCGGTTTTTCTAGAAATCACCACCTTCGTGAGCTTTCCGCAACCGTCGCCGCCGGAATTTCAGTTTAGCTAGCAGCAAGCTAGCTTGGTACTAACTAGCCGGCCGTTTCTCCACACTTTTTCCCTTCTTCTCATTCCTCGAACCTAACTTTCCCCGGATCAAGTTAACCAGTTAAGATTCCGGCTGAGAGAGTGACACTTTTTTTCCCTCTCCCGCCGGGGCAGCTGTGAGAGAGTTTACTAGGCTCTTTACGTATACTTACTCATTATTATTGTTATCTTGTAGTATTGAGGGATAGCCGAGTTCTTAATAGAACCATGCAGGCTCCATCTGCCTCCACTTCAGGCTCCCACAGCGGCAGCGGAGGAGGAGGAGGAATACTAGGAGGAGGGGGAGGAGACACCCGCCTCCCACCGTCGTCTTCGCATTCGCGCCGGCCGTGGCAGTCGCAGCAGTCGCAATCGCAACATCTCCGCCCGGCGACGGCGACGAGCAGTATTCGCTCTCAGCACAGTACACACAACAGCCATCATGAACATACTACTAGGTATCAGTCTTCCACGGGGAGTGGGACAGGTAATGCTGGGGAGAAAGAAGAAGGAGAAGAGAAATGGTACAAAATCCATTTCTTCCGCGGTATGATTCAGGATATTAAGCGCCGTGCTCCATTCTATTGGAGTGATTGGACTGATGCGTGGGATTATCGCGTTGTGCCGGCGACGGTGTATATGTATTTTGCTAAGTGGGTGCATCCTCTTTTTATTTTGTTGGTTTTCTTGTGGTGCTGATTGTGTGTGGTGTAGTATTCTTCCTGCGCTGGCTTTCTCGTTGGATATGTTTGAGAAAACCAACCAGAGTTATGGCGTTAATGAGGTCTTGCTGGCGAGTGTGTTGGCTGCGGTGGTATTTTCGGTCTTTGCGGCTCAGCCGTTGGTTATTGTGGGTGTTACTGGTATGTTTTTTTTTTCTCTATCTCGATCTCTTTCTTCTTTTGTTTCTGAGCTGTTGTTGATCTGGTGGTGGGATAGGTCCTATTACTGTGTTTAATTACACGGTTTATGATATCATCTCGCCACGAGGGACGAATTATTTGGCATTTATGTGTTGGATTGGGATGTGAGTCTTCTGTCGGTTCTCTCTTTGGCAGCTCGTGTGCTGATTATTGTAGATGGTCGTTGATCATGCATTGGCTGCTTGCCATTACCAATGCTTGTAATGGTCTCACTTATGTCACCCGCTTCTCGTGCGATATCTTCGGTTTCTATGTCGCCTTTATCTACCTCCAGAAGGGTATCCAGGTCCTCACTAGGCAATGGGGTACCGCTGGCGAGACTTCCGCATATCTCAGTATCATGGTCGCCTTGCTGGTGCTTATGAGCGGCTGGATCTGTGGCGAGCTCGGTAACAGCAGTCTCTTTAAACGGTGGATTCGCAAGTTTCTGGAGGATTATGGCACGCCCTTGACCATTGTGTTCTTTACTGGGTTCGTTCATATCGGCCATATGAGGGATGTCGAGGTGGCAAGACTGCCCACTAGCAAAGCGTTTTTCCCGACGGAAGAGCGCCCGTGGCTGGTTCATTTCTGGGATATCAATGTCGGCGATGTGTTCCTTGCTATTCCGTTCGCGGTGCTGTTGACGATTCTGTTCTATTTTGACCACAATGGTAAGTCAACTTTCATGATAGCAAAATGCTCTGCTGGGTAACTGACCAAATAGTCTCATCTCTTATTGCACAAGGAACCGAGTTCCCTCTGCGCAAGCCAGCCGGCTTCCACTGGGACCTCTGGCTGCTCGGAATCACCACCTTCGTGGCCGGTCTCCTGGGTATACCCTTCCCCAACGGTCTCATCCCCCAAGCACCCTTCCACACGGCCGCTCTCTGCGTCACCCGCGACGTCGCCGACGAAGACGACACCAACAAAGGCAAAGCCATCCGCGTCACCGACCACGTCGTCGAACAACGCGTCAGCAACTTCGCCCAAGGCCTCATGACCCTGGGCACCATGACCGGCCCTCTGCTCATTGTCCTGCACCTGATCCCCCAAGCCGTCTTGGCCGGCCTCTTCTTCATCATGGGCGTCCAAGCCCTCCAAGGCAACGGCATCACCCAGAAACTCATTTTCCTCGCCCAAGACAGCGGTCTCACGCCAGCATCCAACCCGCTCAAGCGCATCAAACGCCGTCTCTCCATCTGGGTGTTCGTCATTCTGGAGCTGATCGGCTTCGGCGCCACCTTTGCCATCACACAGACTATTGCTGCCATCGGCTTCCCGGTTATTATCCTGCTGCTCATCCCCGTCCGCTCGTTCTTGTTCCCCTGGTGGTTTACACAGGAGGAATTGTCCATCCTGGACGCCCCGACTGCTAGTCCATTCACTATGGAGAGCGTGGGCGGGTCGCATGGGCTGAGTGACGCTGCTGCTGCTGCTTCAGGCCGGGATGATGATCGCCGTAATTCGAAGAATGGGGGTGGTGGTGATGGGGTTATGATGCGGAGGGATGAGAGCTCGTCGGAGTCGGCTGTTGAGGATGATTTGGAGAGAGGTGAGGCGTATGAGATGCAGAGGTTTGGTGTAAGGCGGAGGAGTACGACTGGTGGGGTGGAGTAGGTGTATTCCCCATGAGGGAAAGCGCTGCAGTGCAGGTGATGGGCTAAAAGTATATAATGATGGTTTTGATTTTGGAGATATATAATGGTGAGATGATAGATAGTCTAGTATATAATTGAAGATGCATCAAGTACAGTATTTCAGGTTGATGATATTTTCGATTTCTTACTAGGGTATGAGTTGAAGCCCACTCTTAAACGTCACTGTTCCCAGGTAAGATTGTCCGTTTTACATCTCTTTACCCACCCTTCTTCTTACATGAGAACCGTTCATCTACATCGAATGGGTGTAGACCTACTCACCTAGCTGCCTGTGGAATGTAACCTTGAAGTAGTCATCATATGATATCAACTTAATATAGACGCACTCTTCAGGAATCGTATCTACGCACTGTACTACCTACCTACGTATCTTTCCTAATCTACCGATGCTTAGTAGGTATGTAATGGGGCAAAATGAGCGACAGTCAACTTGATAGAAGGACACATTTGCCTATTTGGGCTGGTTCTCTCCTCCTAGGGTCTGGTCGTGGCCCAGAAGCTATGCCATGCGTGATAGTATAGGTTGATCAAATGATATGCATGGCATTGCTTGAGACCGGGGGCTGTGGCTTAGATACGATTAGGTCGATGGGCTCGTCGCTTTGGGATTGCGCTAGCTGGTCTCCGAGGAAAGTTAATTGTCTATGCTATGTCAAAGTGTTTTATTTGTGGAGTACCGTATCTGGCATTATTTCGCAATTCAGGGGCTCTCCTTTTTCGTCTGGTAGAGCAGATGTTGAGGGTCCCGTTAAGTGCTTCTAGTGGTTTTAGTGTTCTGATAGTTGATGTGCATTGAGGGGGGATTCTTCTTAAGCGGACTCTTTGCCAATGGGAGCTGTTCACTGGTATTTGAGGCGTATGATCTAGCGGGATCGCTCGTCTCGACTGAAGAATGGGCCATCCTGATGGAGTGGTTCAGTTCATGAAGTATATTTGTAGGATAGCCAAGGATGATATGTTTCCGAAGGTCGGTGGCAATCAACTGCGTGGTGAGAAGCGTGCTGATTCAACCATCTTCTTGCTCGCTTATGTTCCTCGGTATATTCTTGGCCATTTGTATTTTCGGTTCCACCACTACAGCAATAGCGTATATTTGCGTTCGTCCATTGGTATTGTTCTTAGATCTCTCGATCTCTCCTCTTTCTGCTCGTGGCGTCTCGATCGTTCTCTGTGATAAGGTGGTC